TGAGCAGGCTGGGGGTGCACAGCTGGGAGGGGACAGGACAGCTGACCCCAGGTGACCAGAGGGTCATTCCATGCCATATGGAGTCATGCTCAGCATATAAAGCTGGGGGAAGAGGAAGGAAGGGGAGATGTTTGGGGTGATGGCATTTAGCTTTCCCAGTTACCATCACACAGGATGGAGCCCTGCTCTCCTGGGGGTGGCTGAGCACCTGCCTGCCCGTGGCATGTGGTGAGCGAGTTATTTATTTTGCCTTCCTTGTGTGCAGAGTTTACCTAATAAACTGTCTTTATCTCAACCCACAAGTTTTCTCACTTTTACCCTTTCTATTCTCTCTCCCACATCCCACTGGGTGTGGGGGGAGTGAGTGAGTGAGTGAGTGAGTGAGTGAGTGAGTGAGTGAGTGAGTGAGCGAGCGCCCACTGGGTTGCAGCTGCCTCAGGGACAGCCAGGTTTCCTGTGGTGCCAGGATGGGGCCCCTTCCCCCTTCTCCATCTCCCAGCACTTCACCACCCAGCCTGGCCCACGCTGGGACATCCACGAACGCAAAGGGAAGAACCTTGTGGCCGATGTGGTCCTTGATGCTGACGGGGATGCCGTAGAGCAGCCCTTTCTCCTTGTGCCCTTCTACTGCCTGGAGCTGCTCCTCACACTCTGGGATAAAGTGTCGCAAGCAGTTTGTCTGCTGGGTCACTTCCAGGGCCTTTGTTGGGCATGTGGAGGAAGAGATGATGGATTAGAACAGCATCATTACACTGCGTTCAGTCTACAAAATACAGCCTGAATAACCCCCTCCTCACAGCATCCCAGCTGAAGCCATCTCAAAGGATCTGACCCAGGAGACAGAACATGTTCTTCTCTTAATATCTGCTATATTAAAGGCTGGTCATAATCCAGCTCCAACAAGCCTTTTCAGCTACCAGCACACACACCATGGCATGGAGAATGTAAAAGGTTTGCTTTGTCCATCTCACTGTGGATGGACACTCACCTTCTCTAAGTAGGTGTAGAGGACAGTCCTGGGGGACAGAGACCCTTCCTGGAGTCTTCTAGTGAGTTCCAGCAGGGGCAGGGACAGAATGGCATCTGTCTGGACACTGGGGACCTGCAAAGGGAAGGTGAGGGGATCCAGGGCAGCAACTCCAGTTATGTAGCAGCATGGAAAATGGACGGTGTTTGCTGCTACCTCCCAAAGATATCTTCTGAGAAAGCTGCTCGGGCAGGCACAGACAGTCACTCAATCCACACTCACACCACAGCTAGGTCAGCAGAGAGGGACAGAAAGGGTCTCTGTAAGAGTTCCAGCAAGGTTTAACGCAGAGCCATGCTGAAGGAGTCCGGAGAAAGAAGATGAGAAAACTGTAATGTCCCAGGTTAAGTGTGGGATCGGGGGCCAATGGTCTGTGGGCAGTACAAGGGCAGGGCAAAGGGCAGATTAACACAGGGCTGCAGAGTACCATGGGAGAAACCCCTTTTACCCGCCCCAAACAGTGAGGCATACTCTAAGCCTGTGGCAAATTCTTGCAGGACATTACCCTAGAAGTTCCCCTAATAGGCCCAAAGCCCCCACAGTTACCCTTTGGCTCAAGGGATAAGGCTGTTAAGTTTTGTCAACGTTATCAGCAGAGTTTGCTGGAAAGGCAGATCCTGCATGTGGGGGTTCAGACCCTGAGCTGCCAAGTGTTTTATCCTGAGTTTGGGTGTCACAAACAGGACACAAACACAGGAACCCAGGTGTCAAAGGGCTTTGTCCATCCACTGCAGCAGAGGACAGGGCAGTGCCTTTCTCCTGGCACAGTGGGACCTCGCCACTGAGCGAGACATAACCTCTGCTGAACAAACACTGCCTGGGACAGAAGGTGCCAAAGTCCTTGCACACAAGTCTCAGGCTGTCCTTTCATCCCTCAGAACAGGTACAGGCAGTGCAGGACAGCCAGGCCTGAGAGCAAACATTTAACAGCTCAAGCCCATCAAACCGTTTGACCAAAAAAAGAAAGTCAGCAGGAACTCACAGGTGTCTTTACTCAGGTAAAGAAGACTGGCAGTTTTCAGTGCCACCAGGTTTTTAGAGGTTTTATATAATATATTTATATTTATATAGAACTATATTTTAGAAAAAAGGTTACAGATATATGTATCACTTTATCTCCAGGTGTGTTACCTGCATAAACAGGAGCTGGCTTACCCAGTGTGTACTCAGAAGTGAATGGAGCAGAAGGGAAAGGTGGTTAGAAATGATGTTGCACTAGAACTCAGGGCTATGCTGGGTGATGCCTGGCTCATTCACCCCCATGTCACGTCCTGGTTGCTCCCAGGGGACACTGAAAACCCGGTGTTTCATTAGTAAAGTTAGACCAAGCACCTTCTGGGCAACCTGATGGGAGGTGCCACTGACTGAAAATGCTGCTTTTGGAGACACCCCTGGAGCTGTCCAGAAGCCAATTTTAGAGCGAAGGGTGGAGGGGTGTGAACAGATGTGCAAACTTAGAGTTAAGCAGAGGAAAAAGCTTTCTTGCTTCTACCCATAATTAGCAAGGGACATTTCCAGATCATTAAATAATTGGGGTTTAGATCGGTGAAGATCCAGCGCATCATCACCTGTGTTGTTCAGAAACCTCTTCTCAGTGAGTATTTCACATTCCCCAAGCTGTAGACTCCCACCACACTCATCCAGCTTGAGCAGGGCAGTGATCTCCCTTTCTCCCAAGGCAGCCTTTCCTCTTGTTGAGGGCTGCTGGCACATCTCCTCCTTACAAAAGCTCTGGGGCCATGAGCTGGAAGGAGGAGCTGAAGGATAACATCAGCAGACACCCCAGCGGGACTCAGCCCCCCGAGGAGGATGGCTTACCTGCTCCCTGAACTGCTGGACAGCCTTTACCATTTTCTTCATACCCTCATCCCGGGTTCTCCGAGCCTCTTCCATTTTCTTCTGGATCATCTTTTTTCCCAGCCATTTCCAGACCAGCAGGGCTGCCACGGAGCCGCCGAGCAGGGCGAGGGCAGCAGGAGTGTGCACCTTCCCCTCTGGCAGGAGCTGTCTCAGCTGCTGCTGGATCATCACGTGCACTTCTGCTCCCCGAGGATGCAGTGAGAAAGAAAAGCAAGGCAGGTGTGGGAGACCTTCCCTGACTCCCCAGGCCCATCCCTCCCCCCAGCATCCCTATCCTGGCTCAGCAAACAGTTCAGATAGTTCAGGCTAAAGCTGGCCCCTGCAAAGCTACTGTAGGTGGAGTGTGCAGTGAAAATGATTAACCATGAAATGGAGAGGGTAAAGTGTGGCCAATGAACCTTGTGTTCATTGGGGTGTTGGGTTTATAGGAGCTTTCTGGACTGTGGGAAGCTCTCTGCTGGGAAGGACTGTAGGATCAACTGAACAAATGAAGCCGGGAAATTGCTGCTCTGTTATTTCCTGTGTAGCCTGAGAGGACAATGGGAGAAGAGGAAACCCAGCTTGAAATAGCAAGGCTTCCCTGCACAGGGCTGGAGAGTGGAATGCTGAGGGAATGCTTAGCTGTGGGGTACCCTGGGCTCACCAAGTCCCTTCTGCTGCTGCCACGGTGATCAGAGGATGTTTTGGCACTGCTGTGGTGTCCTCATGCACCAGCAGGAGAGGCTGTTCCACCCTGTGACAAAGCATGTTGTTGTTGCCTTAGGAGTGGAAAATCCCACAGGCTTGCAGGCCAGAAGCAACTATTTCCACCAGATATTGGAAAGGCTGGTGTGACATTTTTCCAGCACAGATGCCTCTTACTACAAGCACCAAGAACAACACTGAGTTGAAGACAACAGCCCAGCCAACATCAGCCATGCTCTGTCTGCAATCTCCTCTGTTGCTTTTGGATGGTGGATCCTCCCTATGGGTCTCCTCCTTGGGTAAAGTGTTTGGGCGGCTACGGATTGTGCATTACAAAGCCTTGCAAGCTTCCAACAGAGTGTGGAACTGGATATGGAAGAAGGGCTGAAGAACCCTCTCCCTTCAGGGCTAAGTGGGCCTCTCGTTCTCAGTTTTCCATTGTTATGTCTGTTTTTATCAGTTGTAAGAGTTTACTGCTATTTTCTGTCACGGTTTGTGTCAGCTGGGAATGTTCTTAGCTCAGTTCTTAACTAGAGAAATTTATGTACTCTGAACAAATCTGGCTTTGGTGTCCTCAAGGGGAAATGTTCTGGAGCTGGCAGCAATGTGGTAACAAACTGAGCTGGCCTTTTCCTGTGTCCATTCCAGTGGCACCCTTCCCTGGGAGATGCCCCCTCAGCTCTGGCACTGCTGGTGTGAAAAGAGCTGCAGCCTGGGGACATGTCTGCAGCTCATCCTGCTCCTGCTCCGTGGTGCTGGCTGCAGCAGGAGCTTCCAGAAGGTGCAGAGTGATGCATGTGAGCAGAGCCAGCCCTCTCCCAGCCCTCATCCAGCCTCCGGGGATCTGTGCATTCTTTGCCTGTGTGACAGCACCACAACCTCTGTGATGGGCTGAGCAGTGTGGGAGGGTTTTCTCCCTGTGCTGGCAAGTGTCAGGGCATCATCCTCCCACATCCGCCTGTGCTCTGGGATCTGTGCCCCGACCCTGCCCCTAGACACTTGGTAAATATTTCAACACAGACACAGCTGTGTCTGGACTGACTTGGCATTTCAAAGGGCACATTTTTCAGCAGGCACAGCTGCATTTCCAGATGGCTGGATGCTGCTGGGGAAAACCCTTCTCCTGTCAGTGTCCCAGCATCTCCACATCCTTCACGAGTCTGAGGCGTGGCTCCTCCTGTCACCACAAAGCCACAAATCCAAGGGAACCTAAAGGAGGAAAGTAGAGGGATGTCCCAAGTCAAAGTCTCAAGTCCACAGCAGAGAAGACAGACCAGCCTGCCTTGCAGGTCAATATTCACTTCTCCATGTTGATTTTGTCACCTGAATAGATCCAAGACCAAGACCAAACCCACTAGTGGAGTTCAGATGAAAGCCATGACCCTTTTCACAAGGAGAGTCAGCCTGTGACAGCTGGGCTGGGGTTTCATTATGGCATCCACAACATGCCCTTCACTTTGACCAGCCCTGAAAAAGGCATTTAAACCAAGTCAGAGAGTCCCCTCCTGTCCCCAGCAAGACCTGCACCATCTTTGCTATCAAGAGCAAAACTGCACTGATTCACTCTCAGCAGGTTCAGCTCTCAAACAGGCTGGCTCTTTTCCGAAATTCTTATAACTGAACTGTTTTTTCCCTAAATTGGTAAGAAACATTTTTGTCAGCTTTCATCCCCTTTTGATTGAAATGATAAAAAAATAAATCCTGACAGCTGTGTCTTGTGTTCATGTATTTGTAACCAAACACTCTGATGCTATGTTTAAAACTATTTGCAAAATGAGGCACGTTAACTATACTGCTCTGAAAGAATTTTAAAGACATTTTACAAAATACCGAAATCATAGTGAAATGGGCTGGACCCCTCTGGGGGTTTTGTTCATATTGGCTCACAGGGCTGAATAAATGTTTTCTGGGAACACTCCAGTTTCTGACTCATTTCAGCCTGGAAGGTCCGCTGGAAGCATAACACTTTCCTCAGTTCCAGTCCAACTCCACTAGCACTCACACAACATAACAACTGCTAGGAAACTTTCCCCTACCTAAGCTGCAGCTTTCCAAACACCAAGGACATCAGCTGAGAAGTGAGGGTCTGTCCCTAATAACCCTTTTTCGTGTTGCTCAGCTAGGACCCTGTTGGCTTTTCCTGAATAAACTGTGATAGGATGGGAAAGAGAACTCCCACGGCAACCCTCAGACTTCTGACAGCAGGGGCTGCTTTCTCTCCTGACCATCCCTACAATTTCCCCACTTTTCTGGGTATTGCACTATTTTCCTTCAGATTTCCATAGCCAAGTTGTATGAAGCCTACTTAGAACTTGTCCTGCAAGGCAGAGACACGATCAGAAAAGGTGCTGCAGAGAGTTGTTAGGAGTTCACCAAAAGTGAACTAGGAATAGGAGCATTCCTATTTCCTCTGTAATTTCTGTTGTCTTGCACAGGTCTGTCCCTGCTGAGTGACAGCTGCGACTTTAGTGCCCTGATGGTGAGGGACTGGGATGTTCCCAGCTGCTCCATGACTGGGCACAAATCTCACAGCAGGAAGCCTTCACTGGTCTCTCATGGACAAGCAGGGAGTGTAGGAAGCTGGAGAACTGTAACAGGAAAGAAAACAAAACAAAGAGCGAGCAGATTGAGACCCTGCTTGGAGGGGTGAGGATTTGTGCAGTAAACAGCTGTTTCAGAGTGAAAGATCTATACAAACCCCAATTCTTGCTTTTTTGTGTGTTTCAAGAGTGAACGTTGTTATATTCAGGTGTTTCATTTCACCTGCTTTTTGAACATTTGCTTTAAGCATCTTCAACTACCACCTTCCTTGAAACTGAATATCCCAGGTGAATATCTGGGATCCTGGGAATGTTTGTGTCCCTAATTTTCTCTGCCACTGCCTGCTACGTAGAGAGCTCAGTGTACTTTGGGTACTGTAAGGGGACAACTAACTCCTTCTAACCACTCACGTTCTGTTGGTGTAAGTCCTTCTGGGGTGTTTTATTTGCTCCTGGCATTGTGATTATGCAACAATGTGAACTGCAAACTAAAGAAAAAGTCCTGCAAAATAAAGTAAAACCAAAAAAAAAACCTGGATTTTCTGATGCCTCAGTCTCTCAACCTTTCTTGGTTATTTATCTGGCCACAGAATGAAATGTGGATTAAGGAGGGCAGATTTAAATTATTAAAATCAAGAGGGAGGAGAAAAAAGGATCAAACACCACAACCAGGATATTGTGCTGAGGATGAAGGAAACTAGTAAAAACAAAGCCCTTTGGCCCAAGCAGCATTTGTACATAATTCTCTGGGACAGACCAAAGCCTGGACTTTGGTTAGTGCTAGGCAGCTGGACAAGCACTGTGCAAACACACGGGGCAGGGCTGCAAGGGCTGCACAGCCTGAGCCAGCAGCTCCTGGTGAAGCTGTGCTGGTGGGTGTGGAAGGGGCTGACATTCTTTTTCCAGCTTGGAGGAGGCCTGGAGGAAGAACTTTCCTGAAAACTTGAAGTTCTGCCCAGCTAAAGGCCTTTCCCTGATAATGTTTCAGCACCTGACCTCACCAGGCTGCTCTCAGCATCACCCTCCCCACCCTCCCCTACATTTATGCAGCAATGGCAACTGATGGCATGAACAGCCTGGCTGGAGAAGGGCCCTACATTTTACCCAGGAAGGTGCTTTGCTGTCTGCCCAGCTGAGGCATTTACCTGATCTGTAAGTTACTGAACAGACCACTAAGACAGGGCCAAACATGTATCTTATTTCCCTCACACTTTTTCAACATCCTTCTGCATGTCTTCTCTACCTCATCCACTTCAGGGCCAGGAGAGTGTTATCTGAGCATCCACATTCTCTGCTTCAGCATCTGCTGGATAATGGGGAGAAATTCCCTTTGGCTGCTGGGTCTGGGAGTGAGTGCTGCAGGATCCTGAGATCTAGTGCTGGCTGGAAGCAGGAGAGAGGAGAGTGGGAGGAACAGCAAACCCCTTCTAGAGCCATCCACAAGGAGCAGCAGAGCACAAGTATGCCTGGAGAAATTCCTTTTAGAAACAGGACTTTTTCACTTGGTTCAGCCTTGCAAAGATATGGAGGGATACAGGAGTGAAGGACACAGACCTTTCCTTGCAAAACAAGGTCTGTGCATACTCAGGTCTAGCCAGGGATGCTACCTGGGCAGATTTCTTATTTAATGGAAAGCTCCCATCTTCCCTTTGAGAGGACAGCTAAAGACCCTTTGCTCCTGGCCTGAGAGGGTCACAGTCACCCCCCAGGCTGGGGTTCCGTGGCCGGTGCCCCCAGCAGCAATCCTGCAGAGGCAGAGCACCTCCTTGGAGCAGGGTGTGCTTGGAGCTTCTCCTGGCTCCATGGGTCAGGGTGGTGACTCAGGCTGTGTGACTGTCACACTCCCTGTGTGACTCAGACCTGCTGCTAGCCACGGGAGGCAGCTGGATGACTGCAGCATCCCTGCACAGCCCCAGGGAGGCAGATGAATATCAAGGGCAGTGTCACCCCTTCTCTGTTCTGGCAGGCTTGGGGAAGGAGTCACCCTGATGATCATTGCTAATGATCGTGCCTTATTTCAACACACACTTGCTTATTCAAAGCATCTCCTTCATCATTCCCCTTTGTCCTCCAGCCAATTCTTCCACCTTGAGAGTGAAGGATGGGTCAAGAAACAGCACACGATTGCTGATTGCCACGGTGCTGCTGGAAGCACCAAACAGTGGAGTGGCCTAAGTGTAGCCACAGAAATGCTTTCTCATTTTCCCTGAAGAGTTGTAGGCAATAAATTTCCATCTTTTCCCATTGCTTTTCTGGAAGAAATAATGAGGAACAGGAGTGATGACAGACCAGTTAATATTTCTCTCAGCTTTTGGTTAAACAGAGAACATTAAGCTTTGCAGGACACTCTGCACAGCTAAAGTGCTGCATGGTGTGGAGGTCTAGTCAATAAGGGGACAAGTTTGTGGAGGAGAGCTCTCTTGGCAGCTATTTAAACCCATAGGATGCCTGAAAGTCTTTGCCAAAAAGTCTCTTGCCCAAACAATGGCACAGCCAGAGAGGGAATCCTGTACTTAACAGGTTATACTCTCCCACAAACATCTGCTCCTGCCCATTGTTGGAAGTAAAATATTGCAATAAAAAGCCCTTTGGTCTCACACCATACAACAAATAATATTAAACTGTTATTATTGGATCCCTTTAGTCCAGCATTAACTCCTTTCTTTTGTTTTTTGACTCAATTTAACTCTAACCATGAAGGACAATTTAGACAGAGATGAGATTTTTGCTATTTTTAAACAGAATTTAGTGCTACTTTATTAAAACATTAGTTCAGAGTTTTCAACTCACCACCTACTTTGCTTCATATTAAGTAAAAGGTGGCTGGAGTGAAGGGCAGGGAGTGAAAAGCCATCACACTGGAGGCTGGCTCCCAGAAATCACACGTTTCTTGTCGGAATCTGTGGTATTGATGATTCCGAGATTGTAGAAAGTCTCTGTCTTTCTGCCCCGCTGCCAAAGAAGAAGCCATAATTCGTCTGTGCTGGTTTCAAGGTTGTTTATTCTGTTTATCTCTAACATGTTCTGCTGCCCTGCCGCAGCTCTGTCCTGCCGGGCAGCGTGTGGGGCTCTGCCCTCAGTGGGATGTTACAAACATTAAATACCAGAAACTACCTGTGCTATATTTACAATAATGTGCCAATATCTGTCACCTGTGTTGAACAGTGTGTCCCCAGCCTAAACCAACAGAAAAATGCCAACACTGCAGTGAAACATGGAGGGCATGAAGAAGGAGAAAAAGGACAAGACACACCCAATTTCCTCCATCTTGTCCCCTTTGGACCCCTAATCTAGAATCCTAAAATTTTACTTTTGCACCCGTGTCACACTTAATTATTACTCATATCAAACACTCAGAGCTGGTAATTCATCCTGTAAGATCGAAAACTCTTTTCCATGGACAGAGATCACAGACAGTGCCTCTTGGGGCTCTGTACAGGGGGGTTCCTGACCCCTGCCAGGGTCCCAGACCTGCCAGGGCAGCCAGAGGGAAGCTCTGGATTCCCACAGCTTCTCCTCAAGCCACGGGAAAGAGCCTCCACCTCCTTCGGGAAGCGCAGGCATGGCCAGGCACTGCAGGGACAGGGGCAGCCCCAGGGCTCCTGACACTGCCAAAGTTGGGGACACTGCTGAGTCAGGGCACCGGAGCAGGCACGGGACACTGCAGGGAGGGAGGGCAGAGGAAGGTGAGCGAGGGCACAGCTGCCAGGCTGACAAACACCAGCCCCGCTGCGCCACAAACTGCGCTGCTAAACAACATCTAGCTCGTCTATACCCTCACTGGAGATGTAGACAAGCCTTGGGACCATGTCCCAGAGGTGCCACTCTGCTGGTTCTAAGATTTGAGCTCTTTTCCTGCTGACCTCTCTCAGCCTCTTGTCCCAGAGGTGCCCTCGGTGGTGCTTCAGTTCTTCTTGGTCGGCTCTCGTGGCCCTGCTGACCGGCACTGCCCCAGCGGGGAAGTTCATCACATTGTACAGACTGGTGCAGGAGGATGCAGCTGGAACAGAGCATGCAAAGTGGCAAAATTTAATGTGCTGGGCCAGCAGTGACCTTCAGATGGCAACCTGAGTTGCAGGAATTGCAGACTGGAGTTGGCTGGTCCAGAGGAGGCCCTGAAAACGTGCTGCCTCAAAGGGGCTTTTGATGGAGAGGTTTGAGTGACAGAGAGCAGAGTGACCTGTGCCTTCACCTGTCACTCGTGTGGAGATTAGATGTGCTCTGTGAAGGACCAATTCAGAGTCTGCCTCTATCCCTGGGGGAAAATCCCAGCTACCTTTTCGAGATATTCCTGATGTCCAGTTATGTAACATCACTGTGTGGATTTTGGATCCCAAAATGTCATTGCTAGAGGGATGGAGGACCCTGACTCTTTGCTGGAAGCTATTAAAAAGGGCCTTTTTCTGCATATCACACACACTGAGCCTTCCTGCTGTCTTCAGAGTCTTGGGAAATGTGAGACAGCTGCATCCAAAAGAGCCTGGTCCTGTACCAAAATCTACCACAGCTGTCCTTGCTGCCACTCTCTGCTGCAGGAGCAGCTCTGGGGCTTTCTGCAGCAGAAAAACAGCGAAAACTCACCAAAACCAATTGGGACAGAGGGACCAATTAGTGCTGCCCCAGAATTATCCAAGCTTCTTCAGCTCAGATGAGGTGGAGGTGTGAGAAGACCCACCCAGAGGCCTCTCCTTTGCTTTCTCCCAGAGGGAAGAGCCAGCACGGTGCATGGTTTGGGGAATGCCCACGGCACTCAAGTGTCCTGCTGCAGCTCTGCCCACAAACAGCACCGTGGGTGCATGCAGAGGCTCCTCAGGGGACATTACCAAAGAGCTTCCCAGCGTAGCTGTGGTTGGAGGCTGGCCCCAGCACAGGACAAAGGATCACATCCAGCCTTAGCTACCTCCATTTGGTGATGAACTCAGTGTGGTAAGCCTGGAAGGCAAGGCACAGAAGATGACAGATGTGTCTGTTGAACAGCAGTGGCAGATCAATGCTGACACAGAGAAAAAGGAGGGAGAAATCCTTCCTGGATACCACAAAAACATTACTTCAGATAAAATCTGAACGGTGCTTTGAAAGGGTCAAGGGAGCTTGTTCTTCCATTTTTAGGTTTCCTGTCAGAATACCATGTGCTGCCCAGACCTAGACATTAATGCTAGGTGTGTGTTTCAGAACTGATTTATTTGAGTATTAAGCCAATTCTTTCCATGAACAGCTTTGTTTTAGAATTATATTGAATGGAGATCAACAGCAGTTTGTTTGGATGACTAAAAAGTCACATTTCCTGAAAGCTTTAGTTATTCTGGTATAAGTATTAAAAACCATGATGCCAAAATACTTCTACAAAACCTTCTTTCATTCTGCTTGATGATACAGGCAAGGAAATGAAGCAGCAAGAGACATTTGGGCAAGTCCCAGGACATCCCTCACAACACAGGAGGCACAGCTTCAGGATTGTACTGCCGCTCCAAGAGAGACCCAGATTTGTAGTCTGGTTTACCCCAGCTTTGCTGAACCTCAGGCAATGAATGACTCCATCCTCAAAGAGATGTTCCACTTTGTTTTAGCAAAAGGACCCAGATGGATCCACAGTTGTTCCTGCAGCCATTTTCTGGCTACAGGGACACATCTGTGCCATGGCCCAGCCCCTGTCCTGCACAGCCCTTTCACAGCAAGTTTTCTGTACAAGCTCTCTCACAAAAGGCCTGGCCTTGGGGCTATCTTTTTGTCTGACCTCAATTTCCACCTGCAGTCTGAGATCCTTCCTGCTGAAAGTTTAGCAAATGAGATGAGTTTCCAGGAAATACAGTCACCCAGCTAACCTGATTTTTTTTTTTTTTTCCCTAACAGAAATGCTGGTCACTAGCCAAAAGTTTTGAATCAGCTCTTGTTTGCAGTAGATGAAAACAAGTGAATATGGTTTCACTGAACTGCAACAATTAAAAATATCTCTGAAGCCATAAAATCTTCTAAAATGTTTTCTTTTTGGCTTTTTTTTGGTTTGGTTTTGGTTGGTTTGTTTTTGTGGTGGCTCTGTTTTGTATGTTTTGTTGGTTTGTCTTGATTTTTCTATATTTATTTGTTTGGTTTGGTTTTGTGTGGGTTTTTTTTTCAGGAATGGGAGAGGAATCTGTTTTCACCTTAAAAAATCCCCATTCCCATTTAATTTTCAAGCACTCCTACCAGTGACCAGGCAGATTTTTAGGAGTTTGTCCTCTGCCCTAGAATTTGTCAGACCATGGAGTGAGTGGCACTGACAGAGGCTGGTGCAGGCTGGGGGGAGGATGCTTCTCCTCAGGGAGAATTGTGAGGGTGTCCCAGGGAACACAGATCCCAGGGAACACAGATCCCAGGGAACACAGATCCTGGCTTGTGGGAGGACACCAAAACAGCCTCTGCAGCATTGCAAAACACCAGCTGAAAGAGGATACTCTCTATAAATAGACGGAGGCAGCGGAAAATACCAGGGAGGAGAGGTGCTATTTAAACCCAAGGACAAAAATAAAATAAGGATAAACTGGAAGGGAGTAAAGAGCAAAGAAAACAAGATGGTTTCCAGCCATCAGAGCAGAGATAAGAGGAGGCAGTCAATAAAACCAAACTGAAGCATAAAACTCAGCTGGTTTAAAAGAGGAACCTGCTCAGCTTGTGGCAGCAGTGGATGCAGTTGTCTAGGAAAAAGCTTCCTGTCTGAGGTTCCTGATCTCAGATGAGTTCATAAGGAAGCTACCTAAGTTCATATACAAAATTTTTGACTTCTAATGTCTCTGCTTGATAGTTCAAGCATGGCCTTAGGTCAGGACAGTAACACAATACCTGAAATGAAGAATTCACAACAAGAGACAGAAAAGACAAAGTGAAGCCTCATCTTTAGTGGCTGTTCCTATGCTGTTTTTGCTTAGGCAGTGCAGGGCAAACTATAGTGAATAATTTCCAACCCCAAGTCCATCACAGAGTGCAAAGCAATTGCTTAGAAACTTTGGGGACCTCTCAGTATGTAAGAAAAATAAAGTCACATTACTGCCACTGCTCCATGCTGATCCCAGAGGTTTTTGGCAGATCTGGAAGGGTGGCAGAATTAATGAGCTTTGTGACTGTGGCAACAGAAAACAATTAAGAAAATGCACAGTCAGCCCATTTTTAAGGTAACTGCATAACTTCTGGGAACAAGGAATGGTACCACCCAGCTGATCCCCTGGTGCACACATGCTTACACGTACATCAAAAGAGCTTTTGTTAAAGCATGCCAGAACACCTGGATAAAAATCAGTATTCTAAATTAATTTGCTACCAGTTGTGCCTCTTTTGGAGGTGCATGCACCTCACACCACACTGCACGTGCAGGCAGAAGCCTCTGCATTAACTTGGCAAGTGATGCTCTGGGTAACACCCAGATAACGAAAACAGCCCTTATCTGCCTGTGCTGATCTCCAGGGAGTCTTCCTAGCCCTGTCACTCTGAGGATCCTTAAGCTCTTAAAACACCCTCTGGTTGAGAAGCCCTGGACAAGGCAGTGCTGAGCCCAGGTTTTGCAGAGCAGCACACACACACCTGGCTCAGCCTGTGTCACAGCCAGCTGGCATCTACCTGCAGGAGTGGGTGGGCACAGCCAGGCACAGCCCCTTTCTCCAGAGATACCCCAGTGTGTCTTACCCCACTCCACAGAGAGTACTGAGATCCTGAGCAATTCGTGGGTACTTTTGGAGGAAAGAGAAAACCTTGGGATTCGTCACCAGCAATGCAGCTGGAATAGCTGGCTACCCTGTGACTGCATTTTGGGCATCTCTCTTGTCCTAGCAGGAGTGGCTCTGAAGGACAGGCCAGTTCCAGTGAACAGGGTTTACTCCCACAATAATTTACACATTTAATCATTTTACAAGTCATACAAATAAGGCTCTAGACCACACTACTAGTCCTGGAAATCATCTTCTGGATGTGGGAATGCTGTTTAGATCCTCGCTAGTGATATCCATTCTCCTGGAGCTCATTGCTGGAAGGGCTGCATGCTCACAGGTTTTCTGAGAAAGGATCATATTTCAACCGCCCCAAGCAAAACTCCCACAAAAGGCTGTCAGACTCACTTGATAAGTTTAGCTTAGGTTTAAAAACCAAATGTATTTCATTTTGAAGCCCATCAGGCAATTAACATGAAGCAGCCAAGCATTCCTGGGTGGTACAATTTACCTCCCTGCACAAGGAAACCTCCCCACCTTGCAGATCTCCTATAATACAGGTGAGACACATCCCCACACTTACTATGGGTTTCAAAATTATAGCCAACATCCTTTTCACCAGAGCAGGAAGCCTGTCAGTATTGTACTGGGATTTCAGGTTGGGATCCACGATGTCTCCTTTGCTGGAAGAGCAGAGAGTGAAAAAGTCAGGACAAGAACCTATAGACAAGTCACAGAGCAATAGGAACAACAGCGCTGCTCCCAAGGCAGGGTTTGTCTTGGAGGGGAGTTGCTAGAAGAAAAAATCTGCCTGTTTCAACAGAAAACACTGAGCACTAAATGCTGAGGTATAAATGTTCATGGCAAAAATGACAGATAAATCAGTACTTCACTGCCTGTGTCATTCAGGGCCATAAAAGTTCTGGGGGGCCACGCACAGCCCTGGGCTTGCTGAGGTGGGAGAGTGGCTGGGTGGGCAGCCAGCATGTTAGCTGTGTGTGTGAGTGCCTGCTGCTCGTGCTGGAGCCACCCTGCTGTCGGAATCTGTGGGTATTGGTGATTCTGAGATTGTAGAAAGTCTCTGTCTTTCTGCCCCGTTGCCAAAGAAGTCATAATTCATCTGTGCTGGTTTCAAGGTTGTTTATTCTGTTTATCTCTCACATGTTCTGCTGCCCTGCCGCAGCTCTGTCCTGCAGGGCAGCGTGTGGGGCTCTGCCCTCAGTGGGATGTTACAAACATTAAATACCAGAAACTACCTGTGCTGTATTTACAATAATGTGCCAATATCTGTCACCTATGTTGAACAGTGTGTCCCCAGCCTAAACCAACAGAAAAATGCCAACACTACAGTGAAACTTGGAGGGCATGAAGAAGGAGAAAGAGGACAAGACACACCCAATTTCCTCCATCTTGTCCCCTCTGAACCCCTAATCTAGAAACCTAGAATTTTACTTTTGCACCCGTGCCACACTTAATTATTACTCTTATCAAACACTCAGAGCTTGTAATTCATCCTGTAAGACTGAAAACTCTTTTCCATGGACAGAGATCAGAGACAGTGCCTCTTGGGGCTCTGTACAGGGGGGTTCCTGACCCCTGCCAGGGTCCCAGACCTGCCAGGGCAGCCAGAGGGAAGCCCTGGATTCCCACACCCTGCCAGAAATTGCTCCTCTGCTGCTCATTATTCAGCTTGCATGCTCTGCATGCAGCCACTGGCCTCACCATTGCAGGTTTCACAGCCCACACAGCAATGGGGTTTTACTCACAGCAATGGGGTTTTACTCACAAGCAGTCCACCAGGTGGGTCACCCCATCAGAGAAGATCCCTCTGGTGAACAGCTCATCCACCACGTAGTCAATCTTTGTTGGGCAAAGGGAACAAGCTGCAAGGAAACCATCGCTGTCCAAGAGGCAGCAAAGGTGAATGACTCAGAGAGCCCTGTGTGAGCCTCCCTGCCTCAACAGTGGTCACCAGAAGTCAGTGGGAAGTGGTGGGAAATTTACACCTTCCTTTGCTGCTCTAGGACAGCAAGGCCTCATTTTCATCTGCCTGCTGTCTTTTCCCATTAGCCCTATGCAAGGCATTAATACATACTGGGACCTGGCAGAGGCTCCACTCCTCCACATTCTTAGGGAAGAATTCTTAGAAACTTCAAACCACCAATTTTAAATTTTCTTCAATTTATTTTGCATCATTGGAACAGCTACCATATATAAATTTCCACTGGTGGAACCACAGAAAAATGTAGGCTAAAATAAGTCCCTGGAGGGTCAACTGCTCCAACCTCCTTCCCACTTACCCACTAAGAAATCTGAAAGCTGTGTTTAGCAGCTGAGGGATCACTGAAACTGTTTTGAATTTGATATTATGGGAACACCAAGCACAATGGAAACAACAGTGCTGGGGGCGACGTGGAGATATCTGAGCATAATTATCATATCTGCTAGGCCAGAAATACAAGCAAGATCACTCCAGTTTAGAAAACAAGCTGTTGCATTTACCTTTCTCTTTTACGGGGAACAAAAGTGGAGATGGAAAGTGATTTATGCAGACTTTGTTAGGAGTAGGGTAACAGCCCCAGGAAACCACAGGCATGGAAACCCACCGTATGCCCTGCACCCTGGAGGAGCTTCCTCATATGCTGGACAGCCCATTTCATGCTGGAAGAAAACATCTCCTTTGAAATACCTGGTGCAAAGAGGCTTTGAGCGGGTGTAAACCTGTGAGAACAGGAGCCATGATTGCATCCAGGAGGAGAGCAACACTGGGCTGCTCCCAGGGCTCAGGGAGGCACCAGCTGAGCTCTCCTGGGTTGGGGGAATGATGAGAGGAGCAGGGCTGGTGATGAGAAAAGCAGCACTGTCCAGAACACAGGTCTGCATCAGTGGTCCTTGCTGTGGTCTCTCCCACAGCACCTCCTGCCTGCCTGCCCTGCTGTGTGGCTGCTTCTTGGGGTCACTCATGCTGGGTGTGCTCTGTCCACACAGGGGTGTGCTTCCCTGGCTGCTTTGCTATCTTGGATGTGAAACTGGGTTGGGAATTTCCAGAGATTGTTCTTTGTTGCTGGGCAGGTGGAGACATGGGAGAGCCTCTGAGCCTTACCTGCTGATGGAAGGGGATGGGGGGCACGGTGGGGTGCACCTGGGGCATCTCCTGGCAGAGCAGAGCCTTTGTGCACAGGGCCAGGCTGGCACATCCCTTGCCATGGCCCCAGCTTGTCCCTGCGAGCACGGAGGGCCTGTCCCTGCAGCCAGGCGGGCTGTGCTGGCACAGAGCTGCTGCTGGGGCTCCAGCATGGGGCACTTTCAGGTCAGGGAGAAGAAGTGGGGAATTAGTGTAATGAGCAAGGAGGTCCAGCAGGAATGATCTGTCAGTCTCAAAGCAGAGGCAGCCTAAGGAGCCTGATGACCTCTGCAGTCCCGAGGAGAGAGGGCTGCAGCCTTCCCACCAATGCTGCCTGGCAGCAGCTGAGGCTGCCAGAGTCTCCTGGCAGCATCTCCAGTGAGACATCCCAGGCCTTTGGCACATCTCACACCTCTCCTGCTGCGCATTGCACTGCCTGATTCCATTCCATCATTGCACTGATTCCATCCTGCTGAGGTTCAGCCAGCACTGGCCACCACACAGAACAGAACAAATGGTGCAGAATGCCATAACACGAGGCTGTTTTAATTGGGCACTGCTTTGCCTGGCCATGAGGCACAGGGCACAGCAAGCACACTTGCTGGCATTTCAGAGTTGGGAGATGTAAGAGGCAAAGGTTTGATGTAGTAACATGTCATGATGGACTTACCTGATTGCATTCCTGTGAGAGCACCAATGACTCCCTGTGTGCTGGGAACATAATGGGAGAAGCAGATTAGAAGCAGGCTGTAGGGCAAGTCACCATGCTGAGTTGCAAACTTCCCATTTGCCCTCAACCAAATCTAGGACGGCAAAAGTTCCTGCAAAGACACGACACTTCCTAGGCTGTGAAGAAAACTTACATGGTCTGGGAGATGCTAGGGACAGTATTTATTAATCTCTTTCCCTGCTGCAACTAACTCCTTATCTATGACCAAACTGCCTCTGATAAACAGAAAGCTCTTACAAGCAAAGCAAGGGCTGGAAAACATCTGAAAAGGAGATCATCCTGTAGGATTTGCTTTCAGCTTCTTGGCCAGAGCTATTACAAACTGAATAAATCTTTGTTGTGATACAGATTGACGTCATCGTGTGTTATTAACGGAGCAAGTTCCATGCTAACTTAACCCTGGAGGAAACCACGGGCACTACTACAGTTTGATGCACTGTGGGGGACACCTTGCAGCCTCACAGTGGGTAGAAGAAGAGGACAGGAGCTGGGATGTACCTGATCCTGCTGCCTGTGGGTTTGAGGCTGCAGACCCCGCAGAAGCTGCAGGGCAGGAGGATGCTGCCAGCCACATCCAAGCCCGTGCCAAGGATAGAGCCTCCCCCTGCCATCAGAGCTGCCTCCCCTCCTGAGGAGCCCCTGGGGTTCTTCTGGGGGTTGAGGGGGTTCAAGGTCTGCCCAAAGATGAGGCTGCTGCAGTTGTAGCTGGGGAGAGGAAGATCAGCAGGTGAGTGAGTTACTTCTGCCTCTGCAAATCATAAATGCAGGACATAGAGCACCGTGCAGGGATGGGTGTGAAATTAAGGTAGAATTGGCATGAATTAGATTTGTTGAGACAGCTGAATTTAAGAAGGAAGAGGCATCAAATAAAAGAGAAATCATTTTAGATCAAAGTAAGGAGGCAATTAACATGCTTGATTAGCTTGGACAGCAAGAGGCACGTGTCACGGTGTTTCCATGAAGGCAAACATGGCATTCATCATGGTCTGTGAGATGTTGGTTTTCACAAAGGGGATTCCCCCATGGTGCTTTAGAACCTGGACAATGATGCTGTCTTCTTCCTTCACTTGGCCCAGAAATTTCACCATCCCTCCAGAGGAGATGTGGCCCTTGGGGATGGGAAACAAAGCTTTTTTTAGTGCAGGAGAGATGCTGTTTGGAGCTGGGACAAAACCAGACCTAATTTGTCATGCCTCTTGTGGCAAAGCTCCCACCTAACTTTTCTCAGAGGCAGAATAGGACCTGACTATCCCAGGGAAAACCAGATCAGAACAGGTTACAAGTTTCTGCAGAAACCAAAATTTTAATCATAAGAAGGGCTGGTTTGCTGGTCCCACAATATTGGATACAGAACATTCTTCTGTGAGGGAACTCTTAGCCAGTCCTGATGCGAATGGAACATCCTGGCTTGTTCCCAGACCCACAGCAAAAGGCAGAGGAACTGGGGATGAACCTTGCAGTTAATGTGGTCCTTGATGCTGATGGGAATGCCACAGAGCAGCCCCTTCTCCTTTTGCTTCTTCTGTTTCTGGAGCTGATCCTCACATCCATGAATGAACTCTGTCATACAGTTCACCTCTTGATTCATCTCCAAAGCCTCTCCAGAACAGAGAAGAGCAGCAAGACAGATGGATGCATGGAAGGAGACATTACATACTGAGTTTTCAAGCTGAATTTTCAACCTTCTCAAAACTTCAGCATTACTGAGATCTCACCTATAAACATTATATGTTTATTTCTGAGATTTTTTTTCTGCCCTGGATTCTGTCCTGCTTATTTGCCTGTAAGCCAGCCTTCAGACATAACAGTACCAAAAAATTTCATTCCCAGCACTGCTGCTTCTCTCAGCAAATGCGCTGATTTTAACTTGAAAGTCCCACTGCAGGAGAGCCCTGCAGCATCTCTGCCATGCTGGAGGTATCATTCACCTTGTCCATGTAGGAGTAGAGGACACTTTCTGGGGACAGGGACACCTCCTTCAGCTTCTCTTCCAGCTCCACCACTGTCAGCGAGAGGATTTGTGAGGTCTGGGTGCCTGGGTTCTGCAAAGGGTGGAGAACTGGCTACAGAGGGAAGAAAAACACAGAAAAGGTTGGTTAAGGCTGCAAATACTCAATTCTAACATCTGCCCAGCAATCACCTTGAGTGGAAAATTCTAGGCTATATGCCCTGTAGACACGCAGACCTCCCACAGAGCACTGTGTGTGCTGGAGTGGGGAATTTGCAGATGGGGAATTTGTTGAGTCTTAGTTCGTAAAACCAGAACCAAAACAGGCAGAAAGCTGCACCTTGACTGGAGAGTTGCATGAACCTGTAAGAGTGGTCAGACCTGTCTCTGTTTGCTGTCTTACAGGCCTTTACTCCCTTTCTAACTCTAACTCACTTAATAGCAGTTCAACCAGCTAAAGTTTTACATTAACAAGGGGAAAAAAAACCACAAAACCCAAACATGTGAGCTGTTTGCAACCTCCCTTCCAAGAAAAGAATAGCAGGAGGTATTTCTTCAGGTTTAAGACAATTCTAAAGGCCTGACCTCCTAAAATCCAAGTGCTTCTTTACCTGGGCATGGGCAGGAGGAAATGGCTTTTGGTCGCTGATGTGCAGGTGTTGGAAGGATGTGGAACCCCTTGTACTTTGAGGATGATGGGGCAGACAGATCCCTGTGGAGGGGCAGAGGAAAGAGGATGGGAGAGGAAAAGCTTGGCAGTAGGGATGGATGAGGAGAATGGGCGTGGGAGGTCTGGGGTGGTGACCTGACTGGAAAGGTTCCCAGCTCCTATTTTTCTTTCATCCTTAGGATTTCTTCAATGGGTCTGTATTGAGAAATACTTAATTTACACTGTCTTTTGAGGCAATGGAAGGTCATGACCGTCACAAAACCTTGGGTTGGTGATGCTCCAAAACATACCCACGCCCCAGCCACCATTCCCAGAGGGATTGATCTGATCTCCCCCATTTATTTGGTTATCCAAATTATAATCCCTTCCTTGCACATACCCCGTTTAAGCACATACCTTGTTTCAGCCTGCAAGCCGCCTTCTCCATTCTCTCCAGGGCCAGATGCCAAGACCTCCTTCTCTCATCCATCTTCTGCTGGACCTGCCTCCTTCCCAGCCATTTCAGAAGCATCACAGCTGCAGCTGAGTGCAGAGCAGAGCCCAGAGGGCACGAAGGTCTCCCCAGGATGGATCCAGGACATGCCACAGTTGCTCTTGGGTCATGACTTCTGTCTCTTAAGCCCAGCTGCAGACACCTGGCTCTCCCACCTACTCCTCAGAGGGCTGATGAATGCAGGCCCTGCTCTTGCCCACTGTGCAGGATCAGCTCTGAAGCAGATCTGCTTTAACAAAGCCCAGGAATGGACTTTGCAGAGCCTGGACTTTGCAGAGCCTGGACTTTGAAAGGGTCTGGCTGCTGGAGCAGCACTGTGGGTCAGGCTGCAAAGCAAAGTGCTCAGCTTACTCAGCCTGGGGGGTGTCCCCAAGGCAGGGGTGTCCCCAAGGCAGGGGTGTCCCCAAGGCTGTGTCTCCCTCAGCCAGTGGCTGTGGCTGTACCTGGCTTCACACAGAGCTGAATGCCAGCAAAGCCCAGCCCTGGGCTGGCGCTGCTATGTCCATGTGTGGTAATTAATGAACACTTAAGCCCCTTAGCAAGCAGTGCTCAGCCATCATTCCCCATCCCTCAGGCAGCATCACCTGCAGCCCCGTGAGCCTGGGAAAACTTAATTCTGCTTGTCCTGGGGATCCTCGTGTAGAGAACCAAAGTGTCCCTGTGGAGAGATGGGAGCTCAGGAGAATCAAGTGAATGAAGGTGCAACAGTGGCTCTGGAAATGCAGTGTGGAATGAACTCTCTGAAGGTGCCTTCAAGGAGTGACTGCTCTGTATCATTTTCAAGAAAAGTCCCTTTGAAAAGCATTTTGGCAACCTGAATCAGAGGGCAAGCACTTTTGGGAAATCACCTCTGATGGATCCAGAGTCTGCTCTCCTGTTTCTAACCCAGCCTCCAGACAGCAGAATGCAAATGAGCTGGACCATGGCTGCTCCCCTGCCCAGGACTGTTCTGTGGCTTAGTGTGAAAAGGAAAGGCTGAAAAAATTAAGCTTCTCTCAGTTCTCAAGCACCTGCAAGCCCACAGGGAAGGGACAGGGGATGCCTCTGAGAGCTCATTGCCAAGAGGCAAGGCAACCCTCCTACTCCTGGAGAGATGCTGGCTCTGCTCCAGTCAGCAGAGTAGCACAGCTTGCAAGGGGAGAGTGTCCAGAGTAACCATTGCTCTCTGGTGGAGGGGTCTCATTTGGGAACTGAAGCCAGTGGTTGTGCTGCTATATCATGTTACTTCCTTGCCTGTTACATGTCCTGTGGGATTATTGCTGTGGCAGCAGGGGAGGAAGCTTGAGGAAGACACAAGACCTTGCAGAGAAACTGCTGACAGGAAAACCGAGGAGGATCCTCCCTATTTGGACAGGGCGGGCAGCAAAATGAGCCAAACAGCTCAGTGGGGATGTCACCAACCTCTCCCCACTGACTGGGCTTCATTGCCCCAGCCCAGCCCTCAGTGCTTCAGTGCTGCCACTCACACTGACCCCTTGCTGCCCAGGCTGGGCTGGGAGCAGCCTGCAGCTGGCCCCTGTGGCAGCCTCAAGTCCCCAAAGCCACCCAGCAGCTCCAGCCTCACCTGGTGCTCTGTCCCATGGTCATGGGCATGGCTTGCTGGAGGTCTTCCCTCAGGGCTTCCAGTGAGGAATAATTACAGGTTTGGGTTCAGTGGTGGCTCCATGGTTTGGACTTCTGCACCCTGCCCACCTCCACGCCAGGGAGAGAGTGGTCAAACCAGCAGTGACGTGGTGCTTGGCTCTGAGAGCAGGGGTGCAGGTGGCACTGCCTTTCCTGGGACAAGTCCTCCAGGCTTGAATTTTAAAACAAAAATATCCAGCATTTTTTGTGTGGGAAGAAAGCACCTCTAACCCCACCCAGGCTCTTCAGGGCTTGGCTTACATTGCATTCAGTCATGGGATGCCTGGAGCTCCCTCCCTCCTAAGCCTGCTGATAAGAACTGGGGGGGTTCCTGGGGGCTGTTTTCTCCTTGGCTGTGATAAACACTACCCCAAGCCCTTGAAAACGCTCCATGCTTTTGCATGGTTTAAACTACAACAATATATTAAAACCCCAAACATTCATCCTGCCAAAGCTTTTTTACAATCTGCATTTGGCACTCCCACATTGGGAAAACAGTTTTGCGTTGTGGTATTCCTTTTGGAACACCCTTGGAAACCTGCTGGGAGCAGCCAGTGCTGCCATAGGGGCTGCCAGTGGCTGGAAAATCCTGCTGGAAAACCTGGCATGGGCCAAATGGGAAGAGAAGCTGTGCAGGACACGCTGTCTGCTGTCTATCTGACCTTGGCATGCTGCTCAATACAGGCTTCAAACTGAAAGGGGGTGGATTCAGGTGAGATATAAGACATTCTTTCCCTGGGGGTGGTGAGGCCCTGGCACAGGCTGCCCAGAGAAGCTGGGGATGCCTCGTTGCTGGCAGTGTTCAAGACCTGGATGGGTGAGGCTCTGATCAACCTGTTCTAGTGGAAGGTGTCCCTGCCTGTGGAAGGGGATTGGAAAGAGATATCTCTAAGGGCCCTTCCAACACAAACTGCTCTGCAATTCCACTATTTCTCCTTCATGCTGTGCAGGGTGCCAGCAGCCCTGTGGGAAGTGGGCCAGCTCTATTTCTGCTTGCCAGAGTCTGCATGGAGGCTCAGTTTTCCCTTCTGACTGCTAGTCTGTGCTAGGGAAAACGCCAGATTTTATCCCCGGGGAGGTGAGAACAGAGGGGAACATCCCTGTTCCTACAGCATTCCAAGTAGTAGTCTGAGCATCTCAGACAAAAGCAGTGCCCATGCCCCAGTTTCCCCATTTGTAAGAGAAAGTTGACATTCCTGTATTTCTCTGGTGTGATTAAAATCCACCCCAACCCCACACACAAACACGGACTTGAAATAACAGACATAACTCAGATAATAAAAAGTACTGTGTTGGGACAATGATTGGAGGAGCTCCACCACATCAGAGCTCGCCTTGTTCCCAAATCCAGCAGCCAGCCCAGCCACCACTGCATCCTCACTGAGGGGAACAAGAGTCTGTGGGTCACACCAAAGGATGGCCCACGCTGCTGTTGGCTGGGATCCTGCTCCAGCTGAGCAGGCTCAGAAGAAACTGTTCTTCTTCAGGCTGAGGGTCTCCACCTCCTTCATGAAGCGCAGGCACAGCTCCTCCTGCCAGGGCAAGGCCACGCACTGCACGGCCACGGGCATCCCCACACTGCCGCGAAAAGCCTGGGGCACAGAGAGGGGGAGAGGCTTGGGGGTGTCCAGAGGAAGGGAAGGGGGAGCTCGTGCCCCTGGAGAACCTGGCACCGCTCACCTTCGCCAGGGTGCGGTCCCACCAGTCCTGGTAGTATCCCTTGTAGTCCTTGAGCTGCTCCTCGTCCTCATCCGTCACCAGCGTGACGGGGACGACGCCAGCAGGGAAGTCCAAGGCGTTGTAGAGCATGGTGTAGCTGACTGCCACTGGGGGAGAGGGGGAGCTTGCAGTGCCAGCCAGCACAGGGAAAGCCTTCACCCCTCTGTGTATGCAGGATTCCAGCTAACGGGGCACTCGCACTGGGAGCTCAGGGGCTGAGGGATGGAAACCGGCCCCTTGGCTCCCACTGCGCTGGGGGCTGGTCCAGGTGCACCCCGTGGGCTGGGCTGCAGCTGTCCCAAGAGCTGAGCTCTTCCTGCTGCTGGCCAGCACCCTGGGGATGTGAGGGAAGCAGGGATCTGCTGATGGATACTGGCACAGCGCCACAGCCAAGGTCCCCTGTCAGTGCCCTACCTGAGAGCTTGGCAGGGTAGCCGATGCCGAGAGCCGGGCCCAGCATGGGGCACAGCATCACATCCAGGTTCAGCTTCTGCCACTGCGAAACGAACTGGTGGCAAAAGTCCTGAGGGGGAAATGTGCTGGTGGTCAGTGGGGTGGATGTACTGTCCCACAGCTGCCGGCTGAGGCTCTCCGTGGGCATTCAGCTGGGCTCTTGGCTCTTCTCTGGGAGCAGCAAACAGGCTACATCAGGCCTGATCCTGCTAAAATCCAGCAATGCTTTGCTGCCTGGACAGTACTCATCCCAGCTCACAAAGCACCCTCTCCCTGGTAAACTGGAGGTGGGCAAAGACTGAGTGCACAGGCACGTGGTGACTTGAGACATAGGTTTTTGTTTTTGGAAAACCAGAAAGAAAATAAAGGCAGGTCTGATGACCTAGATTTTTATATGCAGGTGTCAAAAATTCAGGTGTGATTTGGCATCATGAACTTGCCTATGTGTTTAAATGTGTTGAGAACTTGCACATCCAAGTGAGATCTGTTGAGGAGTGATGTGTTCCCATCTTACATCCCCAGAGACCTGATCATCTCCTGTCCTTGGTGAGTGCTGAATTTGCCTCTTCCCAAAGAGAAATCAAAAAAAAGCATTAAACCCCAAACTGTAATACTTTACCTCGATTTCATGATGAAGGCTCCAGACTTCATCCACTGTGCTGTAAAAGGAAGCAAACCCAATGAAAGGCTTCTTTCACACCTTCTTTCTGCCTCATGGCATCCCTACCTCTTGGGATGATGAATGCATTAGCCAGTGCTAAAGCCAACACCGTATTTCATTCCCACAAGCTTCATCCTCTTCCAAAGCAAAAGGCTATGACCCTGCTCTCATTCCCACCCTCAATTTCCAAACTGTTTTCCAAACCCAGCAGGGTTATGGTGTTGACACAAATTGCTCTCTTTGCTCCCACACTTGCATTTTCTGCCTTGCATTCTTTCAGACACATGCAGCTGCAGCAGTATCAGTAATGCAGCAAACACTGCTGCAAAACAAATCCTCACACATTCGCTCAGGCTCAGATTTACTCACTTTTCTTTCAGACTTCTTACGATACTTGAAAATCGAGGCACCTAAGCAGGAGAAAGTGGAAAAAAAAAATATGAATCCCAGCTCTGTCCTCTGAGACAGCTCAGTCACAAATAGAAGCTCTTTCCTCAGTGTTCAGGCTGGACTTGTGGATTTTCCCCAGAGTGGGGAGAAAAGGAACAGAAATAGCATCACTCCAGTTTGGAGATGTTATCTGACAGCCAGATAACAATGCCCAGAGGCTTCTCTATGAGAAAGCCTTACTGCAAAGGGAGACAAGTTATTCACATACAGCTTAACTCTGTCTACACTAGAAAGAAATGGACCTTACGAAAGGTTTGGAAATCCAGGAGAGGAGAGTTTTCAGCCAGTGTGGTGCCTTTGTCAGCCAGAAGAACAGCCCAATGCCGCCTTTCTCCATCTCCCCTTTGCTGAAAGGGAGAGGGGGGATTTAGCTGAGCAGTGGTAGGAAGCAATCACAGCAGATCAGCTTTTCCCAGGCCAACCCCTCTGAACAGCATATCCCACTGGCAAAAAGAGGTTTGCTGTATTCTGCTGGACAACACTTGATTCTCACAGCATTTACAGAATATCAGCTCCCAGACTCTTTCCAAGGCTGGCAACAATCCCAAAGAGAACCAAGGTACAGCTGAATCATTTAAGCACCCCCCCAGTGCCCACCAGCCACTACCTCCATCCACTATATTTGCTACCTGTATCCTGAGTCCAGCCAGACCCTAGGGAGGATTTTTATAGACAGGCACCAATCCCACCAAACCATTCCAGGCCACACTTACAATTTCCTGACAAAGGAGCTGCCTCCATCTGCGAACATTCCCCTGACGCAGTAGTTAAAGATCACGTAGTCCACATTTGTGAGTTCAAAGGGCACCAGCTGGAGGGACAATGGAGGAGGGTATCAGTGGCACAGGCACTGTATGGGAGAAGCCACCGAGGGCTTGAAGCGGGCCGAGGATTTCCTGACAAGCCCACAGGAAAAGCTCCATCCTTCCCTGAAAACAATGTTTTCCCTTTGAGCAACAACTGCTGAGTCAAAAGACACAGGATGGGCTTGTCCTCCTGTCCAAGCAGCCCCA